TACCTATATGCTAGAAATTTTATTTTATACACTGATCATAAACCTTTAATTCAGATTTTTGCACCAGATAAAAGTCTACCAGTTTTAAGTGCTACAAGAATGCAGCATTATGCAATTTTCTTACAAGGTCTAAAGTATGATATTCGATACAAAAATACAGATTCTCATTTTAATGCAGATGCTCTTTCACGTTTACCTATTAAAAATGAACAAAATTATACTCATGATGAACCAGACATATTCGAACTTAATCAGATTGAAAATTTACCTACAGATGTTAACAGTTTATCTTTTCATACCAAAAATGATGCTACTTTACAAAAGTTACTATTAGGTTTACAAACTGGTGAGGTTGTTGAAAAACAATTTAGATTTAACGTAGATCAATCAGAGTTTTCACTACAGTCTGGAGTCATAATGAGAGGACAACGAGTTTTAATACCTATGAAATTAAGAAATAAAATTCTGCATGAATTACACACTGCGCATTTTGGTATGGTGAGAATGAAGTCTTTAGCCCGGAGTTACTGCTGGTGGCCTTTCATAGACAAGGATATTGAATCTTTATGTAAAAATTGTTTTCATTGCAACAAGCACAAAAACAATCCTGTTAAGGACAATTCCCACATCTGGGAAACACCTAAATTTTGCTTTGAAAGAGTACATGCTGACTATGCTGGACCTTTTAACGGAGGCTATTACTTCATTTTAGTCGATTCTTTTAGTAAGTGGCCTGAAATACATTTCACGAAAGACACTACTACAAAAACTACAATCGAAATTTGTAGAAAAATCTTCACTACTTTCGGAATACCCACAGTATTTGTTACTGATAATGGTAGACAATTTGATTCTCATGAATTTAGAGAATTTATGAAGAATAATGGTATCACACATAAATTTACTGCACCCTATCACCCAGCCACGAATGGCCAGGGGGAGAGATATGTCCAAACACTAAAAAATTGTCTGCGAGCCATGCACAGTGAAGAGAAAGACAGAGAACTTGAATTGTGCAAGTTACTAATGCAGTATCGTAGAACACCTCACACAGTAACTGGCAAAAGCCCGTCTGAACGTATGCTAGGAAGGCAGATTAGAAATAGATTAGATTTACTTAAACCTTTTACTCATGACAAAAATGCTTACACAGACCAGAGTCTTAGAAATGTTGCTATAGATACCAGAGTCTCAGTGCGAGATTACTTTAATGCCAAATGGCAATTTGGCAAGGTTATACTAAGGTTAGGATTATTACATTATTTAGTTGAGTTAGATGATGGTAGGACGTGGAGACGTCATATTGACCAAATTAGAGTAATTGGGCAGGATACACCTATAGAATATAACCCAACTTGTTTCATTCCTGATACAGTTACACATAGTATAGTTCCAAGGGAGGTATCTGTCCCTGAACCCAATTCCGTTTCACCACCTACAAATGTACAAGAACTTCTAAATGATACAATAGAGCCAACAGTACCTGAGGCTCACACTGAAGCTGAACCAGTGTTAAGACGTTCAAGTAGAGTATGTAAACCTGTTCAGAGGATGAATTTGTAAGTACATCTTTATTTCAATCTGTATTTATGAATTTTGGTCAAGAGAGGAGGTGTTATATACTTGGCAACACAGGTAGGCAACACCGCTCACTGACACAACGGAATGAAGTTAGTTAGTTATTAGGCAATAAAGGTTAATGATGTAAACCACGTTGTATTATTAATTATTACCTTATTTAAGTAAGAAATACCAAATACACAACATTAATAAAATTACTTTTTCTAATATCAAGGATCATTAACATTTCTAGTTTATAATACTGGTATATACAAGTTATAAAATAAATCTTAAATTTGATTAAAGTCACCAGAACAGTCACCAGTCAATTTTATCCAGATTTCGGCCTTCACAAGAGCATAAACATATTTATGGCCAATAAAAAATAATTCTGCTAATAGACTTATTATATTCTAATTAATAAAACTTACCGAAGTTAATAAGGAACGATTAATTTTAAAGAATCCACAAGACGAAAAACTTAATTTGCAGTAACTTAGTTGTAAGGATAGTATGGTCAGCTGAAAAAAAAGAAAACAATAATTCTTGAATTCGTAATTTTGTATTTGCAATAGTTCTGATATTTTAAGATATGCTTCAGAAAAATATATCTAAGGTTGAGAAGTAAGACAAGGAGACAATATTCTACATTCTACTAAAATTGTTCACGGCAGCTCTAAAGTGAATGGCAAGATACTCAATGACGAAATATTGGTATCGAGATTAAGATTAAATCATATAAAACTCATAAGAAAAATGAAATTCTTGTAGTTCGCTGTATACCATAAATCACAAAAGTTTAGATAAAAAAATCCACAAGGAAAACAATTCCTGTAGCTGGCTGTATACCACGTATCACAAAAAAGAGGTTAGTCTTCGTAAGTGGGTATATTTATTTAAAAACCCCTTAAAATGGCTACATCAAAAAAACAAACGTTTTCGGACTAAACAGTCCATCATCAGGTTTTAAAATCGCTAGGTTAAAATGTCTGAGCCACCAAAAATACATGGGTAAAAACCCTTTAAATTACATATAGTTATAAAAGATTATACATCTTGTTGTTAAAAAACTGTGATGTTCAGTATTAAATTAAATATGACTTCAGGTAACATACATTGCAAAAACTGAGTTCCAGAGCCGGGGAGTAAACCTCTACACACGGAGAACAGCTGGAAACTCAGCTTTTTTTAAAAATACTTTATGTAAGGCATATAATTAAAAATACCCTTTTGGGCTATACCACGGAACGTTTTTAAACTAAAAAGTCAATAATCAGTATAATATTACCAGATGAGTTGCTATCTAGAACCCATTCAGATAGGGTCTGAGGGTCAGTAACAACCATTATTGGGAGTTTTACGTTGGTATACAGGATATCTGTTATATATTTAACATCATAACATAGTTTTAACTTTTTTACCTTTTAATGTTTTAACTTTTTAGGGGTTGTTAACCAGATCTTTAGTGGCTTGACTCGTGTATATCTGGTAATATTATACAGATCGACTTTTTAGTCCGAAAACTTTCCGTAATAAACGATTTTTAAATAAAATTTTTGTAAAAACTATAAGGTTTGCAAATGGCTTTGAATTAAATGCATTAAACTTACACGACGTAATTTTTCTGATACATTCGGCCAAAATTCTGTGTAAAAGATCGGAGTTAAAGATAAACTTGAAGAAAACTAAACTTATGACAGATCTCCTAATGGACCAAAATAATATAACTATTGACTATAGTACCATAGAACAAATAGACAGTTACAAGGTCTGCAAGCCTGCAGACAAAGACTGCAAACTAATAAGTTTCAAAAGGTAACCAAACTCATTGATAGCATGCTCACCGACAGACCTTTTCAAGTTACAATAAGAAACTTAAGTGTCCAAATGTAGCTCAGCATTGAACTGCCACAGGGATGGGTTTTGGCACACTTCATGTTTAATAACCTTGCCGTTATGGGAGAAAACTGTCGCAAATGAAGGGTACGGCCCAATGCAACGAAAACGGAAGTGTGCCGTTTTCATCTGAATAATGCCAAAGCCAACAAAAAACTCTCCGTTTATTTTTAAAACAGAATGCTCACTCATTACTCAACAAGAAAATATCTTGGAGTGACTCTAATCAGAATATTGGGTTTTAAAGAACATCTAAAAAAGCAGCAAAACTCCCACATCGGGGTCCTCAGCCTCCGTACTCCGATCATCTGCTCTCGAACTTGTATACTCGGCGGCTGAATATGCTTTCCCGGTATAGCTCAACAGCAAGCACACGAAGATTATTAAAAACCCAATTAAAGCAGACAATGCGAATGATCTCAGGTACAATTAGACCCACACCCAACTATTGGCTTCTCATTCTAAGTCACATTCCTCCGACGAAACTAAGAAGAAGTTATTCTCTTCTCGAAAAATATCAAAAAATCGGGGCTAACCATCAACTACCCATCCACGAAGATAAGCTTAAAATCGAAATAAACAGACTGCGCTCTAGATATCCTCCATTGTTACGAGCCAACTTCTTGCATCAGGAACATCTAAACTCAACAACGCTGGGAGAAGACAAGGAAACTATGCGACTCACCACAAGAAGCACACCAAATGACCTGTACCGATCGGAAACCACCAGGCTTTGAATTGACCCGCAATACAAGGACAACACTAAACAGAATAAAAACAAGCAGCGGTAGATGTGCTGACAGCTTATATACATGGGGAAAAGCTCTTAATCCTGAGTGTGACTGTGGTGCGCAAGGGCAGACCGTGCTTCACATTGCTAAAGAACGCCGTCGAAGGCGATTCCCTGAAGTTTTTGATGAGTTTCTGAATGCGACCGAAAATGTTTAACAATAAATTAATAATACATTAGATGTTCGTTTGTAATACTTCGTGTAACGTTTTATATTAATGTTTAATGATGTGTTCTTGTATTTTATTCCATATGATAAATAAAACCTAGGACACAATTAGTCATAGAATGTGTACTGCTGGGCGTGAGCCTTCAAAACTACATAACAAAACCATCAAAACAAGTAAAGATTAGGCGTTTAAGATCTTATTGAAATAATCACGACACTAAAATGGAACTGGAGAGAGAACTGGCCAAAATACAAGATGCCGGTGCAATAGACGCATTCTGGAATAAAGAACCAGATTCTACAAAAAAAGTCAGGGTCGATAACCAACTAGATAGACAGACGACGTGGAAAATTGCAGGAAACTGGCTACAAGCGGTACAGTGTTGATAACATTGGAAGAAACTGAGAGAGGCCTTTGTTTATCAGTGGACGCGATGGTCTGAATGATGATGACGATTAAAAACATAACAAGGACTGCAATAAAACTAAAACCAAAATGTATTCTTAAAAATCTAATAAATCAAATTTGACATTATGACGACAATTGTATGAATTATAAAAAAGTCTATATCTCTTGAAACTTACAGCTTTTTTAACCTCCTCATCGGCTTCAAATGTAAGAAGTTCGCAGATCAAATTGGCAGTCTTTTTATGCTAAAAAACAAAACATTATATTTTTCTCATGCAACGTTGTTACCACGTTCATCTATCTAGCAAAACAAAATATCTAACAAATATCTAGGATTCTAGAATTTATCACGACATAATTCAAACAATACGTTTACTGAAGATGTCTTATTAAAATAAAAACAATAGAGGTAAATGGTTTATGTAAATCCCAAAATCAGAAAAGGTGCTGGCTTTGAAATACTGTACATAAATTATTAAAATATGGCACTCTCTCTCTCTTTCTTTCTCTCTCTCTCTCTCTTTCTCTCATGTCGTTTCCCTATTTCTGAGTATCGTGATTTCTTCTAATATTCTTAACAATTGTTCTCCATTCTTAATTTGGGAATTCTTAATTTGGGGATCATCCTCTTGATCTTTTTCCCGGAACTTTCCGAAATTGTTTCCAGAAACAATTAATCTCTCCAATCTATCGTCACCTCTGCGAACCACGTGACCAAAAAATTGCAGAATACGTTGCTGACATATTGTGGACAGCCTTTTTTGAATTTCGAGTTGAGAATTGTTGAGAGTTGTTTAGAATGGAAACGTTTGACCTATGAGCTAACAAGCCTAAAATATGGCGTCTAACAAAATGATGGTATGATGAAAACACCACGGGAAGAGTAAACAACTTCTATTTTGATCATTCATACTAAAAATACTTGCAATACTTTTAATACTGATTACTAAGACCATCAGTAACCATTTTTGTTTTTGTCATCTCCTGTAAGAAGATGAGCAATTATAATGAGAATTCACACTTTCGATGCTGCTGCTCTAAAGAGCTCTAAAATTCAGCAGAAGTGTATTGTAACCAAGCTCTTTATTTGTTTAACCATGAGATGCGTCTCCTTTAATTAATGCAAGTTATAACGCTTTCCCAACATTTATTACCTAAATCTTTATAAGTAACCTGAATTTTTATATTTTTACACAAAGTAGATAAAAAGAACTATCCAACTCAGTAATGTATTGTGTGGCGCCTTAAATCTTAATTTACAAATAAATGAAAATAAATATCGATATAAAAAAATTAGGAATTAAAACAACAGTTGGTAAACTTACCTCATTAATGCAAATCTGACAGGGCTCTACGATAATAAGAACACGTCCTATATGACCTAACAGCCAAACTGTTTGCAGTATAACATAAAAGGGATCTGCTCCATCAAATAAACCGGTAAGTAAAAAATACGGCGTTACTATTAGATGAAGTAGGCAGCTTAACATTATAACCTGCATCAAAAATGGAACATTATATTCTAAATATTAAATAAAAAAATAGATAAAGTTAATAGTATATTACATAACGAGAGTTGTAAGAAGCTTATTACATGCGAGTAAAAAAGTTGCGCGCGAGCCGCGTAGCGGCGAGCGCAATAATTTTACAAGCATGTAATAAGCTTACAACTCAAGTTGTGTACTATACTTTTTCTACCATTATTTTTGTTAATAAAAATAAAAATTAAATTACCACTATATTTACACTGACAGATTAATAATTTTTAACCTGTCAAAACAACGCCTGTTAATTCGTTTCCATGGTAACTCGACTAACTGACTTACAAGGCTTATGTGATATTACACATTTTTATAGAACTGAAGCGTAATTTTTTTTATTACGTGCTAGTCATTACGTGTCAGTATCTGTTATGATGCATTTACTTAGCATCCAAATAGTAGGTAATATACAATTTACTAGTAAGAGAGTAGAAAAAAAATATTACGCTTTAATTGTTGCTTTCTGCATATACGATGACCTTTATATAACTTATAAAGACATCAGAAAGAGGAGAGAATATATTATGTTCAATTTTGAAGTCACTGGTTTCTCCCTTTTGGATTGGGTATGTATATTGTCATAGAAAAATAATAAGAGAAAGTAGACTATATAAAACTCTATTTATATACCAATAAAAGCAAAAGACAAATATAGAAGAAAATAATTATATTATATGCAATCTAAATATAATATTTATGAACACATGTTTATAGCAATTAGCAACAAGTAAAATGTAAAAAAGTATAAAATGTATTAAAGCGATAAAGTAAAATATTCAAAATAAAGTTTAATTAAAAGGTTCAAAATCGGGACACAATATGAAATAATTTAGCACCAAGTAAACGTACTTGATCTATGCAGCAACAAGATATGGTGTATTGTACTTTATGCCAATGGAAAGATAGTACCGACCGCTATCGAAAAAAAAAAACGTCTTCAACGACATACAGGAACCACAAAAAGTATTGATGATAGAGCATCCTTTCCTACAGGATGAAACGACTGATGGTGACTGAGTGATTGATGGAAACTGAATGCCATGGCCGTTGGGCTCAGAGTTGTTTTTGTACAAGCTGACGTTAGGTGTGGGTAATAATTTCCCAATGATCTACACTTTTAACCAAAGCCATTCATTTTTTTATTGTTCTTTCTTAACATACAATGTTTGAAAGAACAGTCCTTTGCCTTTAACAATGTATTACAACTGTTAATTATTCTATATGGTCTGTGTTTTTGTACGCGGAATCTTGTCATATAACTTCATGTCATAAAGTAATAATAATTAACTTCTTCAATTGTGGTGCTTCAGAAACTCATCCTAAGGGCTATTGTATATGCCCATAGTTGTAGTAGAGTCATTAAGAGACAACATTACTACCAGTAAAAACAATTTACTTACATGTATACATAATTCCATTGAGTTGTTAATGGTGGAAGTTGCTTCAAAAATTTTATCCTGAAATATTGATAGAGATAATAACCATTTGCCTAAAATCGTGTTAATAAGATTAGTCTATGTTTCTGATCAAATCAAAATTCTATCTTAATATATTTACGGAAAAATCGTGGTTTATAAAATGTAAAATACAAAAATGTATAGTAAAATAAGTCGTTAGTCTGTAAGCCGTAACCTATGCCAAAGGACACGGAATAATTATTTTTACCATTCGACCACACACATTGTATAAGCTCCAGTCATTACACAAGAGTGTATTTGACTCTCTCAAGAGTTTTTATAACACTGCCTGTGATGATTGCATAGTGACCTATCCAGGAAAAACAATTACAAAATACCAAGTATTTTGCTTATCATACGCTTTCCAAGTAGGTTTTACTCCACGTAATATTGAGAGTGGATTCAGAGTTATGCGTATATGGCCTTTCAACTCAAATATTTTTATTGATTAAGATTTGATGTCGGCGTATGTTACTGATCACGAACATCCAGAGAACAATTCCACTTAATTTTAGTTTGATGTTGCACAACCAGCCATAGATAACAATAACCAACCCTCCACTTCTACTAACACTTTCACCACTCCTGAAATAATAAGACTACATTCCTCAACTGGATCGATATCACATTTTCTGCAACTACGACGAACACTACTAGGGGACTTAAACCAGCCTTCTACTTCTACTGGCACTTTTACCACACCTCAAACAATTAGATCACATCATGTAAATGAAGATACTTTACAAAACAGCTGCAGTAAACATCAATAGAGTACAATAACCAGCTTTTTACTTCGGAAACTTTTACTAGCACCGAAATGATCGGACCTCATCCTAAATCCGGGTCCAGGACTTCAACAAAGGGTAGAAGCCGAGCAACTACGAAAATTTTCACAGCTACGTCAAAAAAACTTGCACTGGAAGCTTAAGTTAGAGCTAATGAAGAGAAAAATTTGAAAAAGAGCAAAGGGCCAAAGTAAAGAGCACTAAAAAGAATAAGTAAAAAAACTTAATGATTTAAAGAAATCTTCAAGTTCGGGGGCAGTGGCATTCTACTACAGTTGTCAGAGTTTGAATATAATCCTAATAATGAACTGCAAATAGATACAGATACTGAATGTGAATCAGAGACTGAAGGTGATGAGTTTGAATTGATTGTGCCAAATTGGGTAATTGCAAGCTTTATTTTCAAATGAAACTGAGTACATCATTACGTAGGATAGATAAGGGGAAAAAATTAAGATTTTAAAATCAAATTTGCAAAAAAAAGTGGTGATATGGGTACAGTCGCACGTGACCAAATTTTAAAAAAGTTACCAAGCCCGACTTTTAGGAGCTATAGTAAGCTCATATGATGTTTTGTCTTAAGTAATCACTAAAGATGTTCAATATTCAACAATATTTATTTCAACTTTTATAACTTTTTAAGTATAATTTTCTAAGAAAAAGTGTTTATACTTTCAATATTATTTGTTATGTCATGACTGAGTAAAGTTCGTTTTCAGCATAAAGTTTTTGGTTTTATTTTAATATTGTAAATCTAAGAAGGCATAATCAAGTAACCCATATCACCAATATTTAAACTGTGATACATTTGTCCTCTTCTCCCCTAGTGATCAGAATTCGTCATCTAGAACGTAAGTGTGCTAAAACTGCAGGTCAAGACCGATTTTAAGGGTTAATCGCTAGAAGAAAACCAACAATTATAGCAACTGGATTGGTTACCGACTTGCAGAGGGCACACTAGCCAATCATATGCCGTGATATTGTAATATCATCTAATAATCGTCTTAATGAAGCCAATCTACACAGTCGAAGGTCATTGAGATGTCCACCTATTTTTAAGAATATCAAAACTAGGATGCAAATGATTGGACTACAGTTTTATTCTCCGGCGGATGTTAATTTGGATTTTATCCACATTCTCGTCAAGTAAGAGTGTGGAGACGATCTGGACATGTAGAACGCTTAAGACATATCCAGAAAGCTTATACATACACAGGTGGTACAGTAATGGTATGGGGTGAAATAATAATCGGTGGTAAAACGAAGCTCGGTTTCCAGACTGCTTTCTTTTAGCTCATCAGTACCTCGACACCCGCATGTTAATGCTATTCGTCAAAACTTCCACCTCATTCCTGGTAATGCTCGTAAACATGTCGCATGCCTAGTGACAGTATGGCTTGCGGATGAAAATATTGCGCGTTGTCTTTGCCAGCATAATCCCTAGATCTGAATCCCATCAAGCATGTATAAGACATGCTTCAACAAAAAATTACCTCACATATGGGTAACATATACACGCTGTTTTGTTTCCGAGAGAGTTTGATAGAAGAATAGCTCAACTTACCTAACAGGATATCGACAATCATATTTTGTTTATAAATTCTTTTAAATTGTACTTAAAGGCATTCTCGTTATTTTTGACATTTCAACCAATTTTGTTATGCAATAAATACTACTAACTACTACAAATTAATTATTATCTATTCAAAAATATCCGTAGACTTCTCCTACATGTGCATATTATAACCAAACTAACCATTTACCTATATTTTGAGATTCCTCGCTTTTTACGTAGGGATCAATTGAAGATGTTCTTGTATTATTAACCCTATTAGTTAATTTATCACCATTAACAATAATTTTGCTTAAATAAACTTTGCCGACAATGTCCTCTAAGAATACGTTTTTACTAATATTTGTTCGGTCTCTTACTTTTACAAGATCCTGGTTTAACAAAGAGATTCGTACTTTTACTAAAAGAATTATGTGCCAATAGAACACTTCTATCATTATGACAATACTGTAGAGCATATAAAATGAAAAGTAATATTTTATGTACGCCGAAATACTTTTTCCTCTTGATTTTAAAATGATATCGTAGGCATAAATTAGGCCGATGGTGAATATGACTGCTGCTATGAAGATGACTGACGCTTTTTTAATTCTCTTGGGGTTTTTAAATGGAATGATGTGGTCCGCCTGAAATAAAAACGTAGTAAATAAATTGAAAAGTAATATCATTAACAAAAGATATGACAATAATTAGAAAAAAGAGTTAGGTATAAAAATTGAACTTTTTTATTCCTAAGTTTGTTTTTTTGTTATAAATTAAAACACTTAAAACGTTATAACTATTTGCTATTTTCAATAAGCACATTAATCTACACTATTTGGTGGTTTTACATGGAATGTTTTTTAACTCAACTCCAACACAACTCAACGCACTTTTAATGCGATTATTGTGGAGTCCAATGTGTAACATTTTTTCGTTACAAATTCCTTGGTATATACTAAAATCCCCTCTTATACGTTAAAACACCCAAGAATTATTTCAATTCGTTTTGCGTCGCTGAGTTGATATAAACACATTTTACAGTTTGTTAATATATCACAGACGTATATTCTTTGGTATTTTCTTTGACCGTTTTCCGCTTAATATTGCGTTTTAAATAAACATCCACTTAGATCGCTGAGAAGGTTATGCGGGGAAGCGAATGATTTGAAGAATTAAATCACTCTCGCTAAGGCCGTTGTCAGGAGCAGTTGGCTTCAGTGTCGGTCTAAATTTTACGTCAAATTTGTAATGTTTTATTATTTTTCGTCCATTTTCATGAAAAATATGTAGTAAGCAGTTAATAGTTACAGTTTAAGTGAGGTTAAAAGGATTGGTCATTGAGAGCACACGTTGGTGTGTCAAGAAGCCGGCAAATTTGTTAAAAATAGTGAATTATACTAAATGTAATGTGTCAGTTTTGAAAGAGTGATCACTGTTTCTATATTTCTAAGTACCTAAGAGATTTGTGTCGACTACAACAACTTTGAGGATAACCACATGTTGCCATTATGTCCAGTTGTGCCTATTCTAGTTTTTTAAGAAGCCGTGTCAAATTTTGCGTCTCAGTGAACAACTTCTAGCCTCATTTTCCGTTCCAGCTTTAATTTTTGCAGTTTGAAGATGGATTTGTTCGTGTGGCGGTGAATCTAACTTCAGTTTCCACCCCCAGAAATTTATTCTAAGTTCCTAACCCCAGAAAATTTAAAGTAATTTTAGTGAAATACAGATAATTTGATTGTGTTGATTTTTAAAGTTAAACATTTTATAACAATAATTATTTTCATAACGATTTAAGAAATTATAATAATTGTTCCCACCTCCTTGTCATTCACTTATCCATGACCCAGTTCTCCAAATAAACCCTGAGGGCCTTTCGCCAAAGTTAAGATTTGTTTTGCTTGTACCCCAATAATTTCTGTCTCTAATTTTCAACCACGCTTTGTGGTAGGCAAAATATTCGTTACAAATGTTCTGACTTTTATGTGTTTTTTTCAAAGAAGTAACTTAACCTTTATAAAGAAAATTTGTAGATTTTTTCCACCAAATGGGATCTCTATTAAGTAGTGGTGCTTTTTAAAACTTTTACCTTAGCTCTGAGGATGGCTTTGTAAGCTGAAAGCGCTGAGCTAGAAAATCGATTTTACACACTTCAAAAATACTTTCCTTTTCCATCTTTTTATTTCTTATTTAATTGATCTCTTCCCGAAGAATTATTATTGATTTTTATTTCATTTTTCTTTTTGTAACATTTTTTATTTAATTTTGTTGCTTATATTTAGAAGTTGTATGATTAAAAAATTATAACTGTATTAACCAGATATTAATAATAGAGTATTCTGTGTTGCTAACCACCTTTAATTAATAATGTTTCGTAGATATTTGGATATTTTATCTGTATAGTGTCACAACTCAAAAAAGTGTTTTTTAATATTTTTAGTATAGTTAACTTTACGACCCCCTGTATATGATAAAACAAATTCAATGAACTAAATTAGTTTATTATTAAAACCGTTTATTTCGATTTATAATATTTCCATCAATATGAAATATTGATCGATGTGAGGCGTTTGTACACAAATATAAAAAATATAAACTTTGGAGTTTTTAATTTTATGTTCACAACATTTAATAATATAAACTAGTTTCTAATTCTTACTTGATTTAATATGTTCATGAGTTTCCAAAACATTTTAATCTTTAAATGCAAGGTCATTGTTGCAAATACAACTATAACCACCACAATACTAATGTCTCCACATGTCACAAATCTGGTTTTCACATCAGTCATTCTTAAGGAATGTCTAGGATCAGTTTTAATATCTGCTATCATACCCGTAACAGTCAAAATGGCTGAAATATAAAAATAATAAAAATTGTGGCATTCAAAACCGTTAGCTAAAATAAAATAAATTGTAACAATATTGTTAGATGTATTAAAACAATGACTTATTACGAAATAATTAAAACACCATTTTTAGTTTACAGTATTATCTATTATCCACAAGGAAAATGAAATTTCTGTAGTTGGCTGTATACGATAAATCAGAAAATTTTATTAACACATCCTTTATAAAAGTTATATAATTAGAATACCCTCATCAGGCTACATCACAGAATGTTTTTGAGCTAAAGAGTCCATTATCAGTGTAATATTGCATGGAAAAAGCATAACCACTTTCTTAAAAGTAAGCGTGAATGTTAAAATTTTGACTAAGATTGAAAAAGTAGTATAGTTAAATACTTATACTATATCAGGTATACATGAGTAAGTAAAGCTAAGTATGTGTTAATTATAACATATAACTCAAATAAACATTTTGAAATCTTTGATTTTAAACTATATAATAATTATTGTGTAGATGATATAAAGATTTTAAAACTACTTGTAAAATAAGGTAGGTATTACTTGACATATGATCCCTTTTAAAATTAGCTTACAAACCACCGAATGATGACAGCCGTCTACCATTTGTAATGATTACATTACTGAAAAATCGTAAAAATAAAAAATAATATATAATTTTTACCACTGATACTTTAACTTTCAATAGGGACACATTAAACATAACCTATATTTTTTCCATGATCTATATCGTGAATAATTGACTTATTTTTTAGATATGTAAATGGAAAAATCACGAATATTTGGTTTCGTTTTCACTTTTATTTCTACGTAAATACCATATTTACATTGTCATAAACAGAACTGTTTGTTTACGTTAAATCAGAAATAAACTAAACGCTCCTGTGCTTGAATACCTGAATAACACAAGAAATAAACATGCGTTATTGACATATTGTCCACGGGAACAATAAAAAGCAATTTTAAAGATATACTGTTGGATATAAATATTTGATAAACATGAAAAATACTGTCATATGTCGTATATTTCTTTGCATTTTCATTTTTAACCCACTTTATGGATTGTTTTGATGCACATTTCATTCATCTTTTTTGTTTATAAGTATAGTACGTTTTACAGAGTCAACATAAAAGTTTTAAATAATAAAAACTATATATAGCTGGACAAAATTAACGCACCACTTTAATTAATCTAAATATTTTCAATATGAGCACAAAATAAAACCAACATCCAACAACAAAAGCCAAGTCCAACATGACTTTATTATGACCTTAATTTGCCTTATTGTTTCTTAAAAAAATTGTTTTTGTCGGAAATGCGTAAATAAGCTAGCGTAACTACAAATTGCAAAAAAAATCGGTTGAGTTTACCGAAAGTACAAGCTGAATGTAGCCGCAAATGTCAAAAATATTTCGGTTTGGCAATGTTGGCATGTTTTTATAATGCTCATGTTGTATGCTTCAAATATAGAGAGATAAAGCTTTTAAAAAGTACATTTTGATTCTACTATTTTATGAATTCCGCAATTTTTAATTGATATGAAGCAATATAACGAATAAATATTTGTCTTCTTCGAGATTAATTGCAGACATCTGTCAACTTGTAATTTGACGATTGCCAAATATATCCCCTAATCTATCAAAGGGTAATTGCTAAAAAATCTAATAATTAATCGCAACTAATCTTCAAAGAAACAAATATTTACTCATTCTTGTTTTATAAAAATCAAAAATTGCAGAATTCATAACATAATATAAACAAAATGTACTTTTCTAAAGCTTCATCTTTTTATATTTGAAGCATACAGCATCTACATCATAATGGTATGCCAACACTGCTATATCAAAATTTTTTGTTCCATGTTTGATATTTACGGTTATTATCAGCTTGTACTTTCGGTAAACTCAACCAAAAAATCAGTAAATTAATACAATAATATGCATCTGGGTCAAAACTAATACCGTGTAGGCCTTCCTCTATTTCTTATGACTGCATTCATGCGTCGAGGCATGCTTGATATCAAATGTTCAACAAAAGCTTGTGAAATATTCTCCCATTCTTCAATAACGGCTTCAATAAGTTGGTTGGGATTGGCAATAGGGGGTACGACTTCGTACCCCCTATTTTTTTGAGATAGTTCCATGGATGCTCTATAAGATTCACGTCCAGACTGTTGGGTGGCCACTCTAATAATGAAGTATCAACATCATTAAGGTAGCCATTAACCTGTCAAGCTACATGACGACGAGCGTTGTCTTGCATGAATAAAAAATTAGGTCCAAGAAACGAAGCAAAAGGCATTACATATTCGACAATATTGTTTTCTAAGTAATAATGAGCACTCATAGACCTCATACGTACGGGAACCTACTCCGTATGAGCTTCAAAATAAATTCTCCCTTAAAACATTTTAGAGCCACTACCAAAAGGTACTTTAGAAGAGATATCGCAGCTGGCAAACCTTTTCTCTCGTCTTCGCGAGACACGCTCACGACCACCTGAAACTTTTTGGCTTACTTTATTCTCATCTGAGAAAAGAATTCATTTCCAATCATCGATGGTCTAATTTTGATGTAATCTTACAAAATTAAATCTCTAAACCCTGTGGCAAGCAAGGGTTTTTTGGCCGGTTTGCTGTTGCTCAATTCTTCTTCGTGTAAACATCTGCTATTTGTTCGAGATGGTATAGCGACATACCGAGCATTTGCTAGTTCATTTTTTAGAAAATTGCTGGTGACTCTCCTACATCTGAGAGCACGTTGTCTCAAAAGCTATCATCAATTTGATTAGTGCAACGTTTTCGCCCTTGTTCTGGTCTTCAATGGTACGAACCTGTTTCATTATATTGCCTCACCTCGCGACTGATGCTGGAAAGATCTTCCTAACAAACCTGCAATTATAGAAGAGTCGATGCTCGCACTGCCTCCTCCATTGACCAATTTCTTTGGCAGTTCACTTTTTTATTTGATTTTTATGCAAAAAATTAACTTCCAAACATGCATGTGATGAAGAATATCACAATAAAAAGCTTGTTTCTCACAAGTACTTTGCTTTAATCAGCACTTTTTATGAAAAGTTTAACTCACTTTTAGTCTAAAACGAAGTTTAATACAAATTATTGTTAAAACAAGACTATTATTAGCTTACATAACAACTGTCACTGTCAAACGAGGTCCATAGGCAACTTGCCGTACAGTAAATTATCAATAAATAAAGATCATTGAGAACCATATGAGTGGTGGATTAATTTTGTCCAGGAGTTTATAATTAAAGGATGGATAGAAGGATGAAAGAATGGATACTTACATAATCCTACTGATAATGAGTAGCTGTAAATACCGTAGAAATTTGACCATTTAAGGCTGTATGTATTGCCATTCTTCTTATAGTTGATTGGAAATAACCCAAATAATCTCGATGTAATTAGTAAAGGTTGTATTGCTTCAAAAATAGGTACGGAAATGTAAAGGTCCTCCACAATCATCCTTGGAACAGAAGTTATTAAATCCTAAAAAAAACAAATTAAATATTTGTTAATTTAATAGTAGTTTATATATACTGACACACTGCGCAATGTGTCAGTAGTGACAGCGCAGTGATCAGTGAACAGTGTAGTAGTCTTGGGGCTCGGGAGACTGAGACCTCGGAAGCCCTGAGGAAGGCATTAGAGAGGATGCCGAAAGCTCGGCAAAAAGGATATTGACGCGGTTCAACCCGGAAGACTGGTGAGTTTGATATTAATTTTAGTAATAACATTAATCTTAGCTCTAAGTTTCATTGTACTAACCGCGAAAATCTTTCTGAACATATATATATATATATATATATATATATATATATATATATATTATATATATATATATATATATATATATATAACATACGACAATTAGAATATTTGATTAGACACGTTGAATGTACAGAATGATCTTTTTTAATTGAAGAATATAGCTAGGCAAAATTTTAAAACTTTGGTGAATTTTCGTGGATCCAATGACGCCATCAACCTTATAAAAAACAAAATTAAAAATAGTTTTTTTGTTAACTACGTTAAGATAACTAAAATATATACAAATGTTCGTAAAACATTTTCTATTACAACTCAATCCGTTTTGCTACTTTCAAATTACAATTAATATTTGCAATAAGCAGGTATACTTGGTTGTAAACTAACTTCCAGCCACTTTCAGTCGAAGTCAAAATTTGACCAACATATTGATTACCAAATAATGATGAGCACAACTGAATTAAAAAATTAAATAGGCAATTTGGAGCTTTTTGCGGTTGCCGTAATGAATGTTTCATATTACATTTAATCAAGGAATACTTAGAAGTCTTCAATGTCTAGCGTTTCGTTCACTTATTTATCTTTGGCAGCTCCGTATAAAATAATTAAACAGCAAGTATAGGCTTTTAAAAATTTCTCTGTTTACTTTTGTAAATTATATCTGCGTTTGTCTTAAATCTGGCCTCTTCATAGGAAAGATCCGTCAACCACAGACAACATTTAAGACTTGGAAAGTGAAATACACAAAGCTCTTGCTACAAACCAAAAATGCATTTAATGAAGCTTAGAAGTACAATATTTTGAGACAACTTCATAACTGGTATATTTAAGGTCACTGACTTGTCTTTATCCAAAACCATTTAAACAATAGATCGTTTCAAGTGAAAATAAATAATATTTTTTCAAATATTTATCGTCTGGAAAATGGTACACCCCAAAGATCCGTGCTCATTCCAACATTAATTTTAGTTGTAATAAATTATATAATCAAAAATATTCAAGCACCCTTACAAGCCCGTTTATACGCTGACGACCTAGTTAATATCTCCTTAATGTCCTCAATTCTTCAAAACTTTTTAGATACTCTCGAGAATTTGTCCACCTTTCAGACTTTCAATTTGCAATAGAAAAATCAATAGAAGTTGTATTATTTTCAAGCTCCTTGCCACAACCCAAAACCCTGGGAACCTATGAGAGACAGCTGAAGTTAAAAGATCATCACAAATTCTTGGGTTTAATCTTTGATTCAAAGCTTACATGGAAAAATTACATCTCACAACTTATCCTTTCCTGTAATAAAAGTTTAAATGTGTTAAATTCTCTTTGTAACAAAAACTTGGACCCAGATCAATACACTCTACTTCTTCTGTATAAATTGTTAATACGTTTCAAGCTAGATTATGGAGCAATTGCCTATTCCACTGCTAATCAGTCTCTTCTTAAATCGTTAAATATTATTCTTATAAAAGTCTTAGATTAATTACAGGGACTTTTTCAACTTCCCCGGTACCCAGCATTTATGCTCTTCTAGGAGATCCACTGCTACATCACCGCCACATGTTCCTCTCCGAATCACATGCAGACAATGTTAAACAGACAGTAAGCAAAGTCTTTCGGGTTCAAAAAGAAAAAAAAGTACCTGCCGGAGCAGAAGTCGTTACTTTCAAAGAAGTTCTGAATAAACCTACAGAAGAAAATAGATAAATAAAAAGAAATAGAAAAACAAATAGAATGGTAGAATATGTTGCCTCTGAAAATGGTTTACATCCTGAAATATTTAAAGAAAACGAAGCAAATAATTGAGAAAGAAGTGCAACAGGTGGAGAGTTGTAAACTCCCATTGGGTTGTTGTAAAGTACACATCTAAAATACATATTAAATATTTTATTGGAAGAATTGATAACAAGATTGAAAATGAATGGAAATTTTGCTTTTTGAAATATAAAAACATAGTAACACCTTTTTTGGCCTGATGTAGAAGAGACGGATATGATAGTTGAAGACGATATCGTAAAAACTTTACCAGAACCCGCTAAAGACAGAAGGAATCATTTTATTTTTGACGTAAATTTTGTTGAACCTTTAAATCTTAAAAAGTTTGTACCTTGCTTAAAAATAAATTAATTAAAATTTTTCAAACACGAAAAAATTCATTTTTACTTGCACTTTTAAATTATGTACACTTGCCCCAAAAATAGCACACGTTGCGTTGTAGTAAAAAGTCCATTGTCACACTGACCCCAAACTGGTTCACGACACACTTCGACGGGTTCACCTTAATAAATTTTGATATTGAGGTTGAGCATTATAGGAAATAATACAGCGAAAATATAACATAATTTTTGCTTATGAAAAATTGAATAAGCTGTATAATAAACTGTTCTAAAAATAATTTTCAAACGAAGTTGGTATAGGTACTTATTATTATATTTTTTTTATAAACACCAAGACTAATATTGCATAATAAATAACACAATTAAATGCATAACGTTTGTTTTTCAACATGATTATCAGCTGCAGATGTATGCATTCGTATAGTACAAAAACAAATAATATAGTATATTAACCAGTAAATAATGAGAAACAACAACAACTTAATCATTAAGCTGTTAAACAACGGTAATTGTTCAAACTAACATTGCGAGTCGGAGCGAAATGTTGTTTTTGGCATGATCCAATTCATTAAAATGTAAACATCGATAAGATTAATGACTGCACATACTATTTGCTTTATCTAAATAATTTCACATACTCAAATGTGTTTTAATAGCAATTAATTATTATGTATTTATTTAAAGCTATTTTATAAGCAGTTTTACTCGGGGTTAAATAAAAGAGAAAAAATGTTAAGCGTTTAAATATAACATAAAATTTAAAATTATATCTTCTTCGTAGAGTGCCATATCCCTACGGAACGTCGGCGACTACCATGCTTACAATATTATTATACTGATCTCGGTCTTGGGCTACGTGTAGCAATTGGTCCGCTGTCAAACCTGTCCACTGCCGCAAATTCCTCAACCAAAAGAGTTTCTTCCGTCCTATCCATTTCTTTCCTTCAATTTTACCGTTGAGAATTAGCTGAAGGAACTCATATCTTGGTCCTCTGATTATAATATGTAGAAGATATTCTAGTTTACGCCTCTTAATAATATTTAATAGAGTTCGTTGATGTCCCATTCTTCGAAGAACTTCTTCGTTTCTGGTTCTGCTAGTCCATGGAATTTTTAGTATCCTTCAATACAACCACATCTCAAACGCCTCGATTTTATTTATGATATCGGCGTTTAAAGTCCAAGTTTCACATCCATACAAAAGTACAGACCACACGTAACATCTTGTAAACTTTTCACGGATTTCCAAATTTAATGAATTATTGGATAATAGAGGCCTGAATTTTTGAAATGAGTTTCTTGCCTGTTCAATTCTACATCTAATTTCGAAGGATGGATCTAGATTTTGGGTAATCCAACATCCAAGGTATTTGAATCTCTGAACTCTCTGCAGCGGTTGTTGGTTTAATATCAGTTGGGTTGCGCCGATATCCACTTTACTGGTCACCATGTATTTAGTTTTATCGATATTTATCGACAGTCCCCAATTTGTGCATTCCATGTCAACTCTATTGATTAGCTCCTGCAGATCGTCGATGTTTTCAGCTAAAATCACATTATCGTCGGCGTACCGTATATTGTTAATTATTTATCCTCCTATGATAATTCCTTTTTGATCTTTTAAAATTATATGAAAACACAAAAAACAAAAACATACTGTTAATATTATACATGCTTAACCCGTCCCATACCACTGTGTTTACAAAGAATTTCAATAAAATTTAGCATAAGAGCATTTCTAATAGTAATATGTATATATTTTTTTGCTAAAAAATAAATGCTTATTTATTTGTGGTGAATGAACACACTTAGTAAACGCCAGTAAATACTTCAAGTTCTACTGGAAGGAAAAGTACAGGGCAAAAGATCAGTAAGAAGACGACAGAACTCGTGGCTGAAAGCCCTGAGGAGATGGTTCGACTGCTCATCCGCAGAAATCTTTCGCGCAGCAGTTTTCAAAACTATAATTGCCATTTGGATCGCCAACCTTCAAAAGGAGACGGGGCCATGAGAAGAAGAACATGCAAACAGCCTTAAGTCACACAGAAATCAAAGTTGAGTTAGATGTGCTAATGCATTATATCTGATTCATGCAAAAAAAATTATCAATGATAAAAGTATGTTAAATATCACCTTCACTTGCAAAACAACTTATTTCCACCATATCGGTCCATGCTAACCAGCTTATTTCCAACCAACCAATAGGTGCAACTGCTACTCACCTGACCCGGTGAGTCTTACAAATTTAAGATTATGTGGGGGTTTATTGTCAAAGTATTGAAAAACAATTAGTAATTACTTTATTATTTAAAGAATGCTGGATGGGGCAGATGGAAATATAAGTATTGGTGAAGGAAATAAAGAGACTAGAAAGAGAAGAGTTACAGTAGGAAAAGGGAGAAGTGAACAAATTACTGGTATGTAGCTTCAACAAGAGCCGTAGT